GAATCCTCTGGTGCATTGATCCGCTGGGATGTCACCGCGAGGGAGTTATTTGATCACTGCAGGTTTAGTTTAGGAGATCCTTAATTTGTGGGAAAATTTCAGTTGACTAGACTCAAGACAACACGGTTTTAAACATGTCATTATATTACGTCATAATATGATATATACACTTAACATTTAGAGTGAGCAAAACACGTCACATGTGATGCTACTGAATACATTTGGCCCTACTGAATTCAACTCTACTTCTCTCTACTCTACCTGGTTGTGTTTCCATTTCGTTTTAGTATATGGTACCCTATCCTAGCAACTTACCCACAAAAAACGAATATCCGTGGAAACTTCAGTACCAGCTCAGAACAGTGTTGGGTGTAACAAGTTACACTAACAAAACCACTTTTTTTCCAGGGTAAAGTAAATTAACGCGTTTAATATTGTCAATTTAGTAACGTAACGTTTCTTTTTCATCCGCAGCTGTGACCTTCTGCTTGCGGATCAGTCACATCTCGCGCTCAGTTTTCATTCCACCTGGTATGTGAAGAAAGCGGTGGCGCTGCTCATCACGAAGTGTCACTGATCTCTTATACTCGAGTACTTCAGCGTCTGCACTAAAGGACGTCTTCCTTCATCAAATGAAAAAAAGTCAACCTCACTGGCTCTGCTGTGAGCGGCAACTGCTCTCAGCCGGCTCTTCATCATGGGGATAGAGCCCTAAACCGATTCCCCCCGAGTGAGAGCTGTGTTCAAGAAACACAACAAGCCCAAGTGTACAGGCTCTGTGGCATTGTTGATAATAAAGAGCATGTAAGAATCTGTTATGATCTTGCACAACAGAATTTAAGCTCAGTCAGGCATAATAACAGTAACGTAATTAGTAATAACAAGTAAAGTAAAGAAAGTAACAGGTTACTTTTGAAAATAAGTAACTTCTCTAAAGTAACTTCCCCAACACTGGAGCCGAATAGATTAGAGTAGAGTAGGGCCGAGTAGACTAGAGTAAGGCTGGTGGAAACAGGGCCCTTGATATTAGATAGATAGAAATATAAATACTTTAATGATCCCTCGTAGGAGAAACTCAGGCGTCCAGTAGCAGCAGAAACCCATCCATCCACACACACACCAAACAAATAGTCGTGGTGCTCAGTGCGAGTGTGTTCCCGCACCTGGATCTGCTCCTGGCTCAGGTGCATCAGGTGCTGAGGCCTCTCACTGTGGTGCTGCTGCATGGCGCTGCTCTCTTGCTCGTAGATGGCGTCGCGCTCGCCCTGGGGCAGGTTGAGGAAGCGGCGGATGGTGGAGATGTTTTCCCACAGGGTGCGGTTCTCTGGGGTGGGGTCCTCCTTCCAGCGCAGGAGCTCACACAGCCAGCCCTGGACAAACCAGACAGAGTAGGACTGGTCATTACTGCATTATTATTACATTTACACTCGGTGGCAGGTGAGTGGAGTCGTCAAAAACGTTGTCTCAGTCTCAGAAATCAGACAATAGACTCCAACTCCGGTTGCAGAGAGAAACTGGCCACACACATCCTCCTATAGAAAAAGTGTGTGTGTGTGGTGCCTTCCCGGTGCGTCCTGGCCTAGTGTCAGGGGGACGCACTGTAATCCCCCGGCCAGCGAGGGGCAGCACCTTCCATGTGTTTGGGATTACACACACACACACACACACACAGAGGGGCACGCTGCACATGGGAGATAACTCAGCAGTTTGGTGGTTTTTCCCTCCTCCCCAAAGCCCCATCAAACCAAACCAAACCTTGTTCCTCTGCCACGTTTATTGTTGCGTTTTTAATTTGCGCGCGGAGGGGATTTGGACGTTGCGAGCTCCGGCTGATTCGGCACAGAGAGAGAGAGAGAGAGGGCGAGAGAGAGAGGGTGCGTGTAGTCTTGTCGAAGCCAGAGAACAGTACCGGAGCCCGACCAAGAGCGCGCTAATCCAAGGCAAACACTCCCCCAAACCCGGCAGGATTAGACCCCCGAGCGGAGCCAAAGCAAGCAGGCGGGCGCCGCGTGAACCCTGCGCCCGCTGCCAGCCAGTCCATTTGATGAAGAAAGTCGGGAGTTATTAGGCAAACCTTGGCGTGTGATCGTGTTTTTTCCCTTTTCCTCTCTCTTTCTTTTGTTCTTAAACTGTTTCCGAGCTGATTTTTTGGCAGTGGCATGTCTTTGCGAGTAGCGGACGCTAGCTGTAGCTGCTTCGTGGCGTTTTGGAGAGTGCTTGCTCGCCTGATTGTGCGGGCAGTGGGCAGTTCAATTTGTTTCCTATCGTCAAATGAACAAACAATAACCTTTGTGCTGTTTTAATTCTGTCAGATTAGCGCTGGCGACAGGGTTTTGACATGAAGTGTGGCACGCACAACAAAGCTGCTGTTTTTTGTTATTGCAACAAGGGTCGTCGGACGTCGCAGCACTATTTGAACTTGAACAGCTTTTCTTTTTTTTTTATATGAGATACAGTATGTCATTCTGTATTGTCAGTTAGTTTAGTATGAAGGGAAAATAATCACTGATTGCAAACTTGCACAGCCTTTGATTTGATCATTTAGAGTAGACTTCACATCATTCTAAAGATATTTTTTGAAAGAAATCAAGCATATAATTGATTTTATTTTAAACCCATTCTGAACGCAATTAGCAATATATTCCGTCAAGTAGGGAACGCATGAACAAGCCTTTCTTACTTTTAGTCAATTTGTTTTCAGAAAAGGTTATGTCAAGTTAAATAAAAGCAAAGCGTTGGTCAAAATGTAGACAAAACGAAAAAATGAAAATTGAAATGAAATATTCCAATGCAAAACAACTTGCACACAATCATGCATTAAAGCTTAAAAACAAAGATGACCCAAGAACATGTTCCTCCTTAACGACAGGAGACGAAAGGTTGGGAACCACTGCTCTATAACACATATTAGTTTCACATTGTGAGTTTTCAATTGATTACAATGTATTTGTGTATTGCCCTAAATCAGCAATTCCCTCAAAGGACTTTACAAAGTAGTGGAACAGATCAGAGAATAAACACAGTAAATTAAATGATAACAAACACATAGAAGTCATAGATTCACTTGACTTGATAAAGACCAGAGTGGAGTCCAATCCAATGCAATGTCCCTACTACAATAAAGGACTTTAAGTTAGGTCAGAATGCCTCTTTGTTTTCCACATAGGAGCCATTAGTCCATAGGCAGCGGGATGACCACTGTCCTGATGACAGAAACAAATGAACTCTTGACCAATATTAAAGTTTTCAGAGTTTCTCCTGATTTCCGCATAAAGCCATTTCAATCTATAGTAGAGCATGATATAGAACCATATTAATGCTGCTGATTGTCAACCACCAATCCATCTTATCTATAAACCATAATGTTAATCCATCGCCCTAACAAAAAGGTGAGTCTGTCAAGTATGGCACAACAATTCCACTTCAGTTCAACAAGCTGCGTAAGAACGTTTCAAAAGCCAGTCATCGGAAAGTCATGGGCTCTTTCCTGCTCCTCCAAACCCCAGTATTAGCTGATGTGAGTGCTTAATATCTGCCGCGTTGCTCTGACTACGCCGATGCACCGTGCTTTTCTCGTTTTGTGTAATGACATTTTAGGCTCTTCACAGCGGCGGACAAGCACCATGGAACTTTCTGCCCTTCTTTTGAAGAGTCGGGCTGTGGACAAACACGGCGTAGGGCCCTTCAGACCGGAGTGAGCATCATTAAGGGTCCTTCATGAACAAACAGCAGTGGTCTACTTCTGACTCCAGCTTTGAACACAGGTCGATGCGGTGGACATTTACAGCAGCGGGATATTCAGATTAAGACTTTTTGCCACATGACTATGCAAGGCAAGTTTATTGATACAACACAGTTCATACACATAGAAACATACACAAGACAGAAACTATCACACGAGGCATGAAATGAAAGAATTATTCACAGTCCATTGAAAAGTATGACGATACAGTCCTTATTTTTAACCTGGATTTGAGCATTGTCAGAGTAGAAGCCTGTCTCACATTTACAGGAAGACTGTTCCAGTTCTAAATCTGAAAAGATTCCTCCCCATGTTTAGTCCTGTTCTGGGCACCACCCGGAGGCTAGTCTCTGTGCTCCTCCGAGTCCCAGCAGGAGGCCAGTCCCTTCAAACCTTGCCTTCACAGAAGCAGCCGTACAGAGCGTCCGCATGATGGGAGAGGGGGATTAGCTAAGTGTCGCTCACACCTGTGAGAGTATTGTTCTGTAATCGGCCCCCCTCCGGGTCACCGCTGCTTCATTTCTCATTCACTTTAAACAAGTGAATAGCAATCAAGCCGTCACAAGGCTTTTGTTTCCACACAACCAGATCTCTACCGGACAAGCGCCGGTCTCAGAGTCAAAGGTGTCAAATTAACCAGCTAATAATCTCTTCATGTGTGTGCCGCTGTATAAATAGCAGCTGGATGTGGAGAGAGAATTATTGGGGAGGACAATAGTAATAGACTGTTTACAGATTGACAATTCTAATTCAGAGCCTCAGTCCTGGATCTACAGCATTTGTCCTGGATCTCTGCCTCAGTCCTGGATCTGAGGGAGCAGATCCCTATCTCAAAATGGGCCTCTCAAATGTTTCCTGCTGGGTTTTTGAGCCGATACAGGAGGATGTGAGGACAGCGAAGACCCAGGATGTCTTAACATTTGTGTACAGTGGTCATCCCGCTTCCTATGGACCAATGACTCTTACGTATTTGTTATTTGTTATATTCTGTTTGATTCTCTGATCGACAACTACGTAAAGTCCTCTGAGACAACTGTTGTTTTGATCTAGGGATCAAATACACATATATTTGTGTACACAAATACATTGTTTAGCACTCAGAGCCACTGTCCAGGACGAGGCATCCGAACTCATGAATGATGTACTCAGTGAATGTTTCAGACAGTGGCGAGATAAGAGAGTGCAGGTGGAAGGCCCATCATGGGAGGATAAGCCCCTACACGGCATGTACCACCAGAACATAGCAGAAATGGCTGATCTCAAGATGGCTAGAAAGGGCTGGCCTACAGGACAGCACCGAGGCACTCATCGTGCACAGGAGCAGGCCCTGAGCACCAGAGCGATAGAGGCACCGATACCAGATGTTGTGCACAGAGGCACCTGAGATGATCCAACACATAACTTAGAGAGAGATAACTGCCCGTGGAGGGTGAATGTAGCAAATGTTTATTACATTATAATATAACCTCAATTTGTACCACTAAACTGTGACCTGTCATTTGCATTCTAAATCTGGAAATAGAGAATTTGGGTAGACTGTAGATGTCTTTCTGTATGGACACTTCCCGTGTCTGCGTAAGTTTCCTCCAGGTGCTCCATTTTTCCCCTACCACTTACACACATACAATAGGCACCGTCCCTCTGGGGCAAGGACTTCCTTGAAAAAGCTTCTGTAACTCAGTGGGACTTTCCTGCTTAAATACAGGCTCATAAATATATTATGGAGTGACAGTAAATGAATGTCATTTCTGGTCAGACCTCCTCAGATACAAATCAAAATTGAAGTCATATCTTTATCCTGGGTTTAAAAAACAGCTGTGAGTCTCGATAAGGGATATTTGTGAGTACAATAGGGAGCTTGATGAGTGAAGACTGTATTTGTGTCACAAGCTGCCAATGAGAGCACAGGGCCTGCATTCACTGCAGCTGTGAGCAGCGTGGAGAAGTACCTAAATACAGCCAAAGAAAACTCCGAACTATGACTACTATACTATTACTGTATTCAGAGGGAATGTATTTAGGAGTGGACTGACCAAGTGTTTTCAATAATAAAGAAGATTCCTCTCTCTTTCTGGTCTCTCTCTCTGGTCTCTCTGTAAAATCTTTCTCAAGTCTCCCTCTGGTCTCTCCCTCTGGTCTCTCTCTCTGGTCTCTCTCTCTGGTCTCTCTCTCTGGTCTCTCTCTAATCTCTCTCAGGTCTCTTCCCTCACAGCTGACGGAGCCCTCAGCCTCAGACAGTCACATGGTCGTCCCGGACAACACCTACACTCTAATCACATTTGCTCTTATCAGCTCCATCAGGCTGACCCCGGTCACCACAGATAAATAAATAAAACCAACAGATGTCCATCAATTTGTCCCCTCTCTGCCCTCGGGATTACAGCAGCCTTCCTCTAATTTGACTGCCTTTTTTACCAGTTAGAAGGTTTTCTGAAATAAGCATGTGATTACAGTTAAGGCCTGAGCGAGTACTTTATTTTGACATTTTTTTTGACAGAGATTGGTTGGTGCAGTTAAAGCGGGGGTACCTAACTTTTCCTGTTTCAGAAATATTGGTTTTGTTCGCCACAGTATAAAGAGTCTTGTAAAAGTAAAATGAGGTTTTTCACTTTTTCAAACTAGTTTCCC